TATCCTTTCTTCGTTTTCTTTCAGTGAATGGCGATTAACAAACATAATCAGACTGCAACTGGCACCATTTGTATTGGAACTCTGTGCTGGATGATAATGATGGGGTTGAAGCGCTTACGAGAATACCCCGAATGCTGTGATGTCGGTTCTTAAATCTAAACTTTGCTGTGACCATTAACATCTCCCTGCATTTGTTTACAATGTTGCTTATGTAAGTAAAGAAAACATTTTTGTTTTATGCCAGTGATATTTTAGACATCGGGACAAATAAAGCAGCTAGCAAAAGTCGGTAAACTACATCTAAAGCCTATATGTGACGCTTTATGGCCGGGCTATTCAACTGGTGGCCCACAGGCCAAATTGTTTATATTTGATATTATGAATTAATCAAGTAACAAAAAGTGTATTGATCGGCACTCACTGAAAGAAGTAGAAAGATAGAAGAACACACTAGACAACATAAAAATCTAAACTATAGTTACCGTGCCGGGAATTGAACCTGTCACCTCCAGACGGTGTGTGTGCCTCGCCATGGATACAAGTGCACTAAGAATATGGTCAACTAGGCTTTTAATTTTTATGTTGTCTAGTGTGTTCTTCTGTCTTTCTACTTTTTTCAATTAGTGCCGATCAATACACTTTTTTGATACTTGATTAATTCATAATATTTAACGGCCTCAAAGGTTCCCCCTCTGTTTATTTATATTTGATAGCAACCATGTTTCAGAACTTTGCTATGCAGACGACACAGTCCTCCATTCGAACTGTGTAAAGGGAACAGAATATTTAATCGTGTTTGTCCAAAAACCAGTGAACATTAAAACTTGTACTTGAATTTAAATGAAACAAACAATTTTGTCCACAGACAAAGCTGTCTCTCACCCAAAATTAACAACAAATTATGAAGAAACTAAAAATATCACAAACTTTGTATACTGGGGTTCTATAGTAAATAGCAATGGAGACTTATCAAGGATGGCCACAGCAATACAAAGATTAAACAGTATTTCAAATCTATGGTTAAGCAACAGCATGGAAATTAAAATCAGGATTTTGGGACATGCATCTTCCCTATAGCTACGTATGGGTGTGAGTCATGGACTATCTTGCAGTCCTTAAGAAAGAAAGTTCTGGCTTTTGAGCTGAAATGCTGTAGAAAGATATCCAAAATATTTGAAAAAAGAAGAAAAGAAATATTCACATCCTAACAGATCCAAACATCGAGGAAGATTGGCTAATAAATTGCATTTTGTCTTGGAAGCTGAAATATTTTTGACATATCAAGCCCCATGGCAGACAGGAACAAACAACAACAGAAAGCTAACCCAGTGGACATCTCAATATAGTAGGTTGCAATCCATTTAATAAAAGTGGACAGTTCAGTGTGATAGTGTTCAATTTCTGTAATTACTAAGGGCAGAAAACTCAAAATGACATGGTTCAATTACTGTAATAAACAAGACAGGAGAACTCAAAATGATAAGGTTCATCACTTTAATAAATAAACAAGTGGAGAATTCAAGCTGATAGGGTTCAATCACTGTAATGAACAAGAGTGGGCAACTCAATAAGATAGGGTTTTATCATCATCATCCATTTTCACTCTTTTTTTTTTTAAATTAAGCCTTCTAAAGAAGTAAAGTCTACGATCTACTGCTTGATGGGCAGCAGCGGCTATTGTCATCCCGTGTGGATGTGAAATGTCTTTAATGTCCTAAATCCACATTCTCCTCATATTTCCTCCTGCTTTAACAGTAGATCTCTTTAGGTGTAGTGCCTGTGATGGTCATTGTTAAGCTGCATTCTACAATGATGTCTGAACCATTTGATCTTCTACTTGTCAATAAATGTGTTGCACAATGTTTCCATAATCTGTCTGACAAAATTCAAAATGGCAGACAGTCAGTTGACTGCTGATGCTTTGAAAAATTATTTGTTTCCAGCTAGGTTTTGCTGATGCAAATTTCCCAGTTCTGGGTTGGAAGTCCAAAGGTTGCATCATCCAGCTACTGCGCTGTGTGTTTGGTGTGAAGTTGTGAGCTGTAGACTTCATGTGGAATGGGTTTTTTCTGTTGAGCCTGTAATGTTTCGTAGACTGCGCTAAAATGGTGGCTGGTCAGTTATATTCAGAATGGCATGTACTTTTGCGAGTGACTGACTATATGTGTCAACAGTGATCTGGTGTGGGATGATAAGTTTTGGCACATCTGACAGCTACCACATAAATTTTCACACAGTGTGTGCAAGGTTCAAGATCCTGGACTGACACGTTTTTCGACAGTTTTCAAATGGAACAGTGAAGAACATTTTGTGTGACCTCCCTTGGCAAAGGAACTGAGGAGTTATAGGGCAATTGTGTTGGAACTTCGACTAGCGACTAATTAACATAATTTCTCCCTTGGTCTCAGATGGTTACATTGCAGGTGTTACTCCGGCATCTCATCTCATAGGTGTTAAGTTGATATAGGTAATTTTACATAGGTTAGTCTTTGATAATTAAACAGGCATCTGAGTTTAAATATCTTGGAACAACTTTCAATGAAGATGGTGAATTGGACAAAGAAATTGACATTCAAGGCCAAGTATTGGGACAGCTAGCCCTTCTCTTACAGAATAAGGCGATTCCAATCAGCACAAAGAAATATCTCACATAAAGAATATTCATTCCCACCCTTTGCTACCAGAGTCAGACGTGGTCATTCACAACAAAACATAAAAGAAAATTAGTAACCATAGAAATTAGATGTCTGAGAAAGACTAGAGGAGTGACCAGAAGAGATCAAATCAGGATTGAGGTCACAGGTGATAAAGTCGGCACAGAACCAGTTCTAAATTACATACAAAGACAGCAAATCAAATGGTTTTCCCACTCGGAGAGAATGCTTCCCGACACTATACCATACAAGGCACATACCAAAGGAGGAGAGGGACATAGAGCAAGAGGGAGACCAAGAACAAGATGGAAAGAAAACATCAGAGAAACTCTAAAGCACTATGATGTGTCTATGGTTGAAGCAGCCAGAAGAGCATGAAGCAGGACCTAATATCTCCCTCGACACCCCAAGCGGTAAAAGAGGACACAAAGAAGAAGAAAAAGTCTTTGATAATGTCCAAGAAGCAGCACAGTAGTGGTAAGAATATGCTGTTTATAATCTTTTTCTTAGTGGCCATGCTGTTAAAAATCAGTTTCTTGATGGTCATACTTATGTCTGGATGCCCTAATAATAGCATAAGTTGGCTAGTTGGCATTTTGTTTCTAATTTCCAACCTATTCTGCAAAAAAGGGTTTCATTGCTTTAAAAAATATTTAGTGAACAACTCAAAATCTGGTTCAATCACCACAACCAAGTGTGTTTTCAATTCAATGAATTTCAACAGAAAAAAATGGTTATTGGTTAGTCTTCCAACATTCTTAAGCTGTGACCACTTCATAATCCTTCTTCGTCTTCTTCTTCTGTGTTCGCCCTTTGAAGAGCATTAGGTCTGTTGTTTTGTGGTTCACAGTTAGGCTATGATGTGTGCCTGTCAGCCCAATATATCTCAAACAAACCGTTAATTAGTCGCCTTTTAGAATTTGCTTTTAATGAGTAGCCAGTCTTATTTTCTGCTCAAAATTAGGGCCCTGGAAGCATTACAATTTAAAGCTATTATCATAAAGATAATGGTTTTCTTTAGCTGAATAGCCACATAAAGAGTGAATTACAGGGATGGCGATTTATACTGCTAAAGTCAATATGGTGGATAGGCTGGTGTATTGTTTTTAGTCATGGCAAGTTTTTGCTTCTGATAATAGCTAGTCTTTGCCTTTTCCTCCATATGTACACTAAAAAGATACAGTTCAGTAGCCCAGCTACTGAGTTGTGCGCATGGATGCATGGAACGACACTGTGAGCTGCAGAGTTAATTAGAGTGCTTTTCAACTGTGTTTCACATGAGTTATGTTGTGAGCTGCAGATTTAGAAAATGGTGAGTGGCCTGTTGTCAAAGAACTGCTGGTGCCTCATGCGATTATTACATATAGGACTATTGATCTGTTGTAACTGCTGCTTCCATCGATGATAAACATTTAATGCATGTGTATGCCACTGGCTTTGATGAGACTACAGTCAGTGTCCATTTTGTCACAAGAGACAGTCATGGACATTTTGCGTTGGCAGAGGAACAGAGCAACTATGCAGGAACCCATTTGCAATGACGTTGGAACTGCCACTACCTGATTGCTAAAGTGATTATTTGCTCAAAGAGGCTCTGCTTGAATTTGCCCAGCGAGTCTTTGGTACTGACCGCTGAGTTTCTGTTGGTGTTTACTGATATATTTCATTCAAAGAACACTTAATCAAAGACAGTCATGACAACGTAAGAACTTGTTCTTATGTACAAATGTTAACACTCTGACTGACTGAACCGATGTCAGGACTAGTTTTTAAAACGTCTGTAGCATTCACTGCCCTAACTACAGATGTTTTTAATGCCCAAATGTCACTCCCTAAGTTGTCATAACTAGTTTTTAAGTAAACGGAAACATTTACTGGCACAATTAGAAGGGCATCTGTTGACCCAAGATACAAAATTTCTTCCTGCTACTAACCCATTCATACCTATCAATGAAACAAACACCTCTCTTTCTTGGCATTCACTGACTGTAAACTCCAGCAGAAAGTTCTGGTTGTTCATCCACTTCTGGACTTTGGTCTTGTTCCAGAACATGAATTCTGTGTACAGTTATAAACACCTGGCTTAACTGTACACAGACTGCTGGTTCCTGGCCATTCAGGCAGACGTGGTCCGGCTTTGGAAGGAAAATCCCTAACTTGTCGCTTTGTAAGACATGTTAGAGAGGCAGAAGGTCTATTCTTGTTTTCCCCTTCAAAAGAGGCCCCGGAACCTTCCTGGGGAGCATAACCATTCAATGCTGCTTGAAAAATCTATATACAAGCACATCAACAGAATAAAATATCCTTGAAATCCAAAGCACACACACACACACGCACACACATAAATCATCTACTTCTATTGATGACCTCTGCCTCCTTCTCAGACAACACCGCCAACTGGGTGAGGTGAGGTCCTACCACAGACACTGCACAGTTTTTATAAAATGGTGGTTGGAACTCGTCTGCCGAAGAAGATTTTAGAAAAAGCCACTCTTGGTGAGGTTTAGATAATGCATTCCATTGGTTGATGGTTCGGTCTCGATGTTTGGCAAGTGTGTGTAGACAAAGTCTGTGAATGATAATACAGATAATGGATGGAGACAACAGCTTTCAGAAAACCAAGACATAATATCTAGGGTCTCTTCGACTTTCGACTCAGTTCGGCTCTGACTAACAGATCATAAGTCGAACTTATATTCTTCAGGTCATAAGTCAAACTTATATTCTTCAGGTCATAAGTCAAACTTATATTCTTCAGGTCATAAGTCAAACTTATATTCTTCAGGTCATAAGTCGAACTTATATTCTTGAGGTCATAAGTCAAACTTATATTCTTCAGGTCATAAGTCGAACTTATATTCTTGAGGTCATAAGTCAAACTTATATTCTTGAGGTCATAAGTCAAAATTATATTCTTCAGGTCATAAGTCAAACTTATATTCTTTTCTTCTGCTGTCTATCCCCAAATGGGAACTGGCCCTCAAACAACTCATGCCAAGTCATTCATTGTCTTTCCCATAGTAGGTTGGTTTTTGTGGTTACTGTTTTTTACAAGATGAAGTAGCCAACTCTAAGCCCAACCCTACGCTTCGTCGCCTCTTACGACATGTCTGGTAGGATGCAGTGTGTTCTATTCTTTGCTTCCCATGAGGGCCCCCGTAAAACACACAGTCAAAATTTATATTTTTCAACACTATTTTAATTCAAACAGGTTTAAAAAATTGTACATAAAACACATTGATTCTATGTAAAATTATTGTACATAATGTGAAAAATGCATGGAACTTTTTGACTATACCAATGTAGTTATCTCTCTTTATTAACAATTATTTTTTTCCCCCAAAAAATGTTTTCTCATTGTAAATTTTAATAATGTGGACACACAATACACTGCGCAATTTATTGCCTGGCATATTTCGCTGTATTTCATCATGTCATAAGTCGAGGAGAAGGTGTATATTTAAAAACTGCTGTCTCCACAGTGGAGGCTGACTGCAACGTATCCACTGCTCACTATGGGAATATTACATGTTAAAACCCCATTTCTTCCAGTCTACAGTAAGACTCTCATATCCACTGTCTGAAAACCTTGAGCCCAATCCTCTCCAAGTGGCGATTTACCAGTTTATCAAAGTCCCAAAACTCATGTTGCTGGCTCACCAGTTGCTGTTGAATGTCTGACCATTTCTCTCCACCTCTGTCTGTCACATGCAATCAACTTCATCTTTGCAGCCTACCACTGAGCCAAGCATTTCTTGGTCTGCCTCTTCTCCTCTTTCCCTTTATTGAGTCTTGCAGTATTATTTGAAGAGGCCAGATAATCTCATTACATATCCTTACCATTGCATTTTCCGTCTATTTTTTCACAATTGTTAAAAGAGGTTTACAGTTGCCAATGCTTTTCCTTGTTGGTCTGTATATACTGCAGGGCTCCGTAGGAAGGAAGATGAGTAGGTTTATTTTTTCCTGGAACCCACACTGGGAACAGCTTCAATCAGTAATAGCACATTTTCCCAAAGATGATATTTTCACCTGTTCATTATGTTCAGGCGGAGCAGGTGACCACGTTCCTCCACAACCATCTGTTTATGAGTTCCTGGTCAGTTTCATAACTGGTAATTCTTTCATGTCACTCTACCAGATCTTTCTTCGCTGTCAGTCTATTATCATCATGATCATGAAGTGCACAAAATCACTCTCATCATGGCAGGTCTAAAAGTCACTGACTGACTCAGATTACAGATTTAAGAATCAACATCATAGCACTCTGGGCAAACTCACTTATGCACTGTGTCCCACAACAAATGTCTTAACTCTTTGAATCCCAGGTTGAACTTAATAACACTATATTTAAGAATATATTATTTTATTTGATAAATGTCTGAATCTGAAGGAAGTTAAATAATAACACAGGGAGAAAGAAGAATTTAAAGCAACAAAGAAGCAGAGTAAGCTAAGATAATTACTGGATGGGAAACAGAAAGTTATGAATAGTATATAATGTTGAATGTTAAATTAAGAATCGACATATAGCCCTCCGGACACTCCCATAAATGCTACGTCCCCATCTACAGCAGCAAACCAAGAGTTCCAATTCTGATGGCACCAGTAGCTGTCTGACTGTACACCTGGCTCGTCTTTCTCTTGAGTGTTGAGCGTCGGCCAGATCCCCTGTTAACTCCCCGCCGCGCCATTCTCCTCAGACCGTAATGATCTATTTGTGCCTCAGCACTGTTCACTCACTCCCAAAGGACCTTCACAACATCTAGTATATAAAGCAACAAAGCTTAACAACATGGTCAGTTGCTTGGAGTAACTTAAATTGTAGATGCTAACTGTTCCGGTGGTTCACACTTATTATACACATGCCGTTCTTTTCCTCTCATACACCCCTTCTTGCCGGCTCCACCTCTAATTCCATATTCACACGTTCTTACATGTTATTTCATCTAATCCCATGTCTTCTATCATCATTCATTCACAAATGGTCTTCAGGGTGTCTCTTTTGTCTGACAGGAGTGCTTCTAAAGCAATCACTACTGTAGTCAAAATATCCACTCCCTCATTCCCTCGCACTCCTGTATATCCTGGACAGTATATCCACGAGAGTCCCTGTAATGCTGACGGGTTGTAATGGTATCTATTCGTGCCATATTTGTTCTTTCCTGACACATAAACCATGACCAAGGTATCCTTGATATCCAGTGCTTGTCAACCCCTGCCTTTTCTACCCAAAACAAAAACAGTACTAAAGACTTTGGTACTTTATATAGCACTCTGTCAGACTTTAACTAAAATTAATTCTAAGGCTTCTTCTTCTTCTTCACTTCCTCTTTTACCGCTGTGGGTGTCGAGGGAGATATAAGGTTCTGTTTCTAGCTCTTCTGGCTGCCTCGACCATAGGCACATCGTTCTGTTGTAGAGTTTCTCTGATGTTATCCTTCCATCTTGTTCTTGGCCTACCCCGTGCTCTACGTCCTTCTTCTCTTCCCATGTATGCTTTGTATGGTATGGTGTCACAAGGCATATTCTCTAAGTGGGCAAACCATTTCACTTGCTGTCTTTGTATGTAATCCAGAATTGGTTCTGTGCCGACTTGTTCTCTTATGATCTCATTTCTGATCTTATCTCTTATGGTCACTCCTACAGCCCTTCTCAGACATCTCATTTCCGTGGTTACTAATTTTCTTTTATGGTTTGTTGTGAGTGACCATGTCTGGCACTGGTAGCACAGAGTTGGAATAAATATGCTTTGAATAAGATGTCTCTTTGTGCTGACTGGGATTGTCTTATGCTGTAAGAGGGAGGGGGGGGGGGGCTAATTAAGGCTAATTAATTATAATTAAAGTTAATTCTAAGAATAATTATTTCTAAATTAATTTGTACCTCTCTAAAGAAAATGGCTGTGCTCTGAATACAAGTACTTTGTCACTGGTGATCTGCAAATACAAATACACAGGTTTTAATATTTCAAAACCCTATATCAAGAGACAACAGGCCTTGGAACTGTATCCGGGAAGGTCTTCAGGGTTGCTCTGATGCATTCAGTCGAGACGTACATCGTGTCATGGTCTCTGTGCATATGGGTGATGTGAATGTTGTGTACAGTTTGTTTCATATGCTCCGCCTTGTGTCGGTCTGTCTTGTCAGTCTGCAGGAGAAATCTATGCAGGAAAGCTTTGTCTTCATCTGACTGTAACACCACCCCATTGTCTATATTTAGCTCAGGTATAGCACACATTTGTTACTGTACACACTGTGGAAGGCAGTTGGCCTGTTGTGTTGTGGTTTGCAACTTAGCTAAGATATCTGCACCTTTTGGTCAAACACAGTTTCTGCCAACCAGTGCCATGAACAGTTAGTTTTTCAATCATCACACTGGGCTGGAAGTGCAGGGAGGTTAACTAGAACTTTCTGCCAGAGTTTACAGCAATAAATCATAAAGAAAAAGAAGCTAAAGAAAGAGACAAATTCTTCTTCTTAGCATTCACCCGCTGTAAACTCCAGAAGAAAGCTCTGGTTGTTTGTCCGTTTCTGAACTTTGGTCTTATTCCAGAACTTGAAGTTCTGCATGCACAACCGTTTACGGATCTGGCTTATTTATACGCAAACGACTGGTTCCTCCCTCTCAGGTAGACACACTCCAACTTGAAAAGCACAACTCTTTCCTATTTAGTCACTTTTTATATCATGCTTATTGGGGTGGAAAAGGGGGGGGGGGGTGTGCAAGTGAGGACTGTTCACATGGGGATTACAGAAAAATATTAAATTAGCTGAACTGCAGTAAAGCTGTATCTTCTCATTGTTCACTGGCTGTCAATTTCAGAGGAAAGTTCTGGTTGTTCGTCCACTTCTGGATTTTAGTGTTATTCCAGAACCTGAGTTCTGCATGCACATCCATTCACAGATCCAGCCTATCTGTATACAGACTGTTGGTTCCTCGCTTCTCAGGTAGATGCACTCCGACTTCAAAAGAAACACTACTAACTAGTAACCTTTTAAGATATGCTTATAGTGGTGGGGGGAAGGGGAGGGGCACTGAGTCTTTTCTCCCCCCCCCCACTAAATGGGCAGAAGACCCACAAAGGAATTAAAGAAAGATTTCAAATTACCTGAATTGCAGCAAAACGTTATAAATGTAGCAAATAAATCAACAAAACACAAACATACCATTGGAGACTCATGTTCCAAAATATTGGTGGTGCATCCTCCAAAAATCAAAACGTCTCCCTGAATACTGACACAAGCTGTGTGCCATAATCTGGGAAGTCCTGTATGGCTCACCAACAGAGTCCATTGTAGAGATAATATGTCTAGTTTCCATGCATCATCTGAATTGATAATTTAGAATATTAAATACTGATATTATTCAATGGAAATGAGATGTTTGAGAAGAGTAAAAAAAAAAACTATGTCTAAGAAACTATGTCCAGCTTTCCGGCATCATCTGAACAAATCTATCTGTCTATTGTCTTTCTCTGCATTTGTTCACGTACGGATGCCCTCCGTGCTATGTCAAAAGGCTATCCCAAATCTTCTCGAGTTGACTTCATTTATCTCTTTTTCTTCCACATGTCTTCATCTACTCTTTTTCCAAGATCTGTGTCTGGATCATCGTCAATGTTATACAGGTCTCTGATTTTGACTGACGACCGACTGTGAGTGGCCGTGGCACTGGGAATGTCAACTCTGGTACTGGTCCTCCTACAACTGACCACACCATTATTTGTAGGAATTTCAGTGTTTATACAATGTTTGTAATCAGTAGTATGATCTTAATCTAAAATTCTCTGCATCTGTTTTAGCACTCATAAACCTGTTCCCATGAATGCTTGAATGGTTACAATACTTTTAATCACTTAACATTGTTTAGAATATCACATATACGAACAATTTCAAAATATTAAATGCTTTCACAAAGGCAGCCATTCTGAATGTACCACACTGCAGGACCATTCATTGTAAGAAAACTGTTGGGGAGGCACTCATTGTAGCTATAATACATGTGAATGGGTGAAAACACTAATCTCAGAATTAATTTTGTTCCTTCCAAGACCTAGCTATCCAATTCAAAAAATGTAAACATGCTTCAGTTTGTCCTCTTCTGAAACCAGTCATACAAATCATTAAACAGTTCTTTGTCTTTGTTGTTTCTTTCAAAATATTCTTTTTTTCTACCTTTCTAACCCCCACTGAAGCATATGCCCTTAATCAACTCAGGCCAAGTCGTTCTATCCTTTGCTATTGCATTCAGCTCTCACATTTTTTCAACTTTACTCTCTAGCTCCCTTTTCCATGTGTTTTTTGGTCTTTATTTCGATACCCCTGTGGGTTCCATTGCAAAGACATTCTAGTTAAATTGTTCTCAGGTTCTCTCAGTGTGTCCAATGGAACTTGTTTAGTTCTCTCCCAAAGCTCTATATCAGATTCTATGATACCATTCCCTCTATTCTGTGCAGGCACTAGTTAATGAATGTCTGTAGTTTATTGGTAATTGCTTTAGTTGATCTCAATGTTTCCACTCCATACTGATCAGACATTACAATTAAAAATGTTAAGTTCAGAATATACAATATGAATAAAAGAGCATAATGAAATGGTGACCTTATTGCATATATGAAAGTGTGGGAGCAAGCAAACCACAACCCAGGATTTACACGTTTGACAGAGAACTTACCCAAAGGCTGTCTGTTATTGTCAAAGCCACCAAAGAGCAACAAATCTGTTTTGCTGAGCTGTGACATAGTATGCCACGACCTTCCAGTTGGCTCGCCACCTTTACATGATATTCTATGAGAAAAAGGCACACACAAAAACAAACAAATAAAATAAATCTTTATTTCTTTTCCCGTTTTCTAAACAAATCACAGAATAAACTACAATCAGCACAGTAGTTTCTATATCTTCCTCAAGGAGTGAAATAAAATTAGAGAAAACATTTCAAAAATAGAATGCCATATTTTCTTTACTATTACTAAGGAAGAAAGATTCTTAGAATACTGTGGATCAAGAAAAAGGAAAGTAATAATGCCATATTTTCTTTACTATTACTAAGGAAGAAAGATTCTTAGAATACTGTGGATCAAGAAAAAAGGAAAGTAATAATGCCATATTTTCTTTACTATTACTAAGGAAGAAAGATTCTTAGAATACTGTGGATCAAGAAAAAGGAAAGTAATAATGCCATATTTTCTTTACTATTACTAAGGAAGAAAGATTCTTAGAATACTGTGGATCAAGAAAAAGGAAAGTAATAATGCCATATTTTCTTTACTATTACTAAGGAAGAAAGATTCTTAGAATACTGTGGATCAAGAAAAAAAAGGAAAGTAATAATCCCATATTTTCTTTACTATTACTAAGGAAGAAAGATTCTTAGAATACTGTGGATCAAGAAAAAGGAAATTAATAATGCCATATTTTCTTTACTATTACTAAGGAAGAAAGATTCTTAGAATACTGTGGATCAAGAAAAAGGAAAGTAATAATGCCATATTTTCTTTACTATTACTAAGGAAGAAAGATTCTTAGAATACTGTGGATCAAGAAAAAAGGAAAGTAATAATCCCATATTTTCTTTACTATTACTAAGGAAGAAAGATTCTTAGAATACTGTGGATCAAGAAAAAGGAAATTAATAATGCCATATTTTCTTTACTATTACTAAGGAAGAAAGATTCTTAGAATACTGTGGATCAAGAAAAAGGAAAGTAATAATGCCATATTTTCTTTACTATTACTAAGGAAGAAAGATTCTTAGAATACTGTGGATCAAGAAAAAAGGAAAGTAATAATCCCATATTTTCTTTACTATTACTAAGGAAGAAAGATTCTTAGAATACTGTGGATCAAGAAAAAGGAAAGTAATAATGCCATATTTTCTTTACTATTACTAAGGAAGAAAGATTCTTAGAATACTGTGGATCAAGAAAAAGGAAAGTAATAATGCCATATTTTCTTTACTATTACTAAGGAAGAAAGATTCTTAGAATACTGTGGATCAAGAAAAAAGGAAAGTAATAATCCATATTTTCTTTACTATTACTAAGGAAGAAAGATTCTTAGAATACTGTGGATCAAGAAAAAGGAAAGTAATAATGCCATATTTTCTTTACTATTACTAAGGAAGAAAGATTCTTAGAATACTGTGGATCAAGAAAAAGGAAAGTAATAATGCCATATTTTCTTTACTATTACTAAGGAAGAAAGATTCTTAGAATACTGTGGATCAAGAAAAAAGGAAAGTAATAATCCCATATTTTCTTTACTATTACTAAGGAAGACAGATTCTTAGAATACTGTGGATCAAGAAAAAGGAAAGTAATAATGCCATATTTTCTTTACTATTACTAAGGAAGAAAGATTCTTAGAATACTGTGGATCAAGAAAAAGGAAAGTAATAATGCCATATTTTCTTTACTATTACTAAGGAAGAAAGATTCTTAGAATACTGTGCATCAAGAAAAAGGAAAGTAATAATGCCATATTTTCTTTACTATTACTAAGGAAGAAAGATTCTTAGAATACTGTGGATCAAGAAAAAGGAAAGTAATAATGCCATATTTTCTTTACTATTACTAAGGAAGAAAGATTCTTAGAATACTGTGGATCAAGAAAAAAGGAAAGTAATAATGCCATATTTTCTTTACTATTACTAAGGAAGACAGATTCTTAGAATACTGTGGATCAAGAAAAAGGAAAGTAATAATGCCATATTTTCTTTACTATATTTAAGGAAGAAAGATTCTTAGAATACTGTGGATCAAGAAAAAAGGAAAGTAATAATGCCATATTTTCTTTACTATTACTAAGGAAGAAAGATTCTTAGAATACTGTGGATCAAGAAAAAGGAAAGTAATAATGCCATATTTTCTTTACTATTACTAAGGAAGAAAGATTCTTAGAATACTGTGGATCAAGAAAAAAGGAAAGTAATAATCCCATATTTTCTTTACTATTACTAAGGAAGAAAGATTCTTAGAATACTGTGGATCAAGAAAAAGGAAAGTAATAATGCCATATTTTCTTTACTATTACTAAGGAAGAAAGATTCTTAGAATACTGTGGATCAAGAAAAAAGGAAAGTTATAATGCCATATTTTCTTTACTATTACTAAGGAAGAAAGATTCTTAGAATACTGTGGATCAAGAAAAAAGGAAAGTAATAATCCCATAATTTCTTTACTATTACTAAGGAAGACAGATTCTTAGAATACTGTGGATCAAGAAAAAAGGAAAGTTATAATGTCATATTTTCTTTACTATTACTAAGGAAGAAAGATTCTTAGAATACTGTGGATCAAGAAAAAAGGAAAGTAATAATGCCATATTTTCTTTACTATTACTAAGGAAGACAGATTCTCAGAATACTGTGGATCAAGAAAAAAGGAAAGTAATAAAGACATTCTTCTTGTCTTTTTCTTCTTTGTGTTCACCAGCTGTAAACTCTAGTGGACAGTTCTGGTTGTTTGTCCACTTCTGGATTTCAATCTTGTTCCAGAATTAGAGTTTCGCATGCATATCAGTTTTACAGATCTGAATTATTTTTATACAGACTGTGTGTTCCTAGCCTCTCAAGCAGATACACTCTGACTTCGAAGTAAACCCCTAATTAGTCATCTCTCACAACATGCTTTAGGAAGGCAGTGGATCTATTCTTGTTTGCCCCCCTCACTGGAGCCCCAGAACCCACATGAGAGACAAATGACATTCTATATATATGAAAATTAGGAAAACTGGCTCATAAACAGCATCTTGTCTTAGAGACTGAAATACTTTGCCATACTAAATACCACAATGGCTGGAAAGAACAGTGATGGAGGGCATAGAACCAGCATAAAGGTTAGAAAAGGACAAAGCAGACTCCAGAACTACAACGATGATCTCCAAAGATTTTCTAAATACCTGTCCTCATGAATCAAATGAGATTCTGAAATCAAAATCACGACCTTGAGAACATGAGTGAAATGGTTTTATCACTTTGTAACTGAAAACCTTTATTTATATTTTAAAATCTATCATATTTGCCAGTGTGTACACTTAGGAGGACCATAAGTGACTGATTGATTGGCACCTTTCCGTCTTTCCAGATGACAGTGTTATATTGCACTTTGAGGAGGCATGGGACTCACTGCCTATAGTGATGGTGATTATGACTAGCAAGACCCGTCTGCGGTAATAAAAGTCTTCCGCAGTTATAGCATGGCATTTCAGGACCACTTTTGTAAGTTTTAGTTATTTAGTATGTTTCTTCTCAGACGCTCGGTTCTCATCCTTTCTGCAATCATTTCTTCTTTCATTCTCATTCCCTTCCGGATCTGCCCCCTCCACAAAACACGGTCCATGGCATTTTGTTCCCATTAGTCCACCTAAATACCTGCATTATTCATGGCCCGCTTGCAAACATCTTTATATCATAGCAAAGGTCGGCATCGACATCTTCTACACATATTGAATTCACCACAGAGGATGTCATTAGGGACTCTGCCATCCTCCATTCTCCAGGTGTGACCCAGCCACCTGAGCCTTTGTAGACTGAGCATTGAGAAAACTGTTGTAATACCTGATCTTTCCAATACCTCAGCTTTTGTGATCTTGTCCTGCCACCAAATGCCAAGTATTCTTCTTAGGCATTGCATGTGAAAGCTATTTAGCCGTCTCTCCTGCCATAAACGATGGCATTTGCCATAAACAATGGCATGGCTGATTATATTTATTAATAACAGCATTGGTGTGCCTTGTTAACAAGTAGCATTTTAACCATCACAATCATCATCATCAGTTTCCACTTCTGCTGTTAAGCGTTGTGGGGAGAAACAGTTTGTGATCCATTGCTTGATGGGCGGCAATGGCTACTGTCATTCCGGGTCGATGTAGAAGCTCTTTAATTTCTTCATGTTCTTCTAGGACGGCCTCTTGCTTTCACTTCAGATAATATAAGTTAATATGTCATATTACCAATATTGTTTATGGCCAGTGGGTTAGTATGAGTCACCGTATACATTTTTTATATGGCCAAAGAACGGTCAGTCAAATCACTCTCTGCTACATTCATATTTACTGATTATTCCTCTTATTCTGTAATGCCAGGGTGCCGGGTTCGATCCTAGCTGCTGACGGTATGTCCTGCATTGGTTTCGACAGTGGCACCGAGAGCTGACCATTTAGAATTCACTGGCAAACTACTGAATGTAAAATATGCCTAGAAAAACCACTACAGCCAAAAAATGCTGGGGTTGGTTCTGCAACGTCTTGAAAAGGATATGCAACTAACTAACTGTATGGGAATAAATATTGATCTGGTCCACAAACAGAACTATTAAGATTTGTTTCTGTGACTTGTGTTAAATGTATGTTTGATTGAGGATTTGTTGGGACTTCCCAAAATATGGATGACTGGCTTTGTTTTTCTAGGTCACCAGGGCAAAAGGGTTAATTATTGGAATACACAAGAGAAAATAGAAGCAATAAAGAAGACCTACCTGCCACTCCAGGTGTGTGTTTCTAAATCAAGAAGGTGTAGATCATTTAATCGCCCTGTCTGATGTCTGCCACCAAAGAGGTAAACTGTGTCATTGATACAAACAGCAGAATGTGCAGCCCTTTCTTTAGGCTTCGGCCCCTATTCAACAAGAAAAAAGACACTACAATGAACAAAACGAGTCAAACGTTAAAGTGACTGTTAAAATTGAGAAATATCAAATGTTAACAGGACTTTATATTAAAACAGATTACTATTAAATGTTATAAAGACTATATTAATATAAATGTGAAATCTTCCATACACTCAACCTGCCCGATTGGCACGGTCGTTTGCCAACATCAGGTCACTGCCCATGCTCTTCAACCAGTCTGCTGAAATTTTGTGATGGCCAACCAAAAATGTCCATCCAATCATGTAGTGGCTACAATGGAAGCCAAATAGGGAAATCAAATGGATGTCATTTACATAACTTTGTTTCTTAAACAGTACCTCGGCCAAGTTAAGCAGTAACTCAGAATTTAAACATAATCCGTTCTGAGATGGTGCTCAAATCCCAAATAGTTTTTTCAAGGCAATTTTTCCCACTGCAAATAACTGGAAAGCAAATTAATATGTTCCAGGGCCCAATGAACATAAATTTTCCAATATATTTTCCTGAATACAGTCTACGATAATATACTAGCACATGATAATTATATCTCAATACAAACACAGGAACTGGAAAAAAAAGAGATTGGAAGGTGAGTCACTTTCCATGAAAACATCAGGTATCCTTTCTGGTGTTTCATATCATAGTTGTTAACTAGAGGTAGAGGGTTTGGGGTCACTAGTTTTTGTTAACAGCCATCGTTCTTACGAGGAAATTGTTTGTTTTTTTAAACATCTAGAACTGGGCCTAACACCAACCCGTCTATGTCTCATGAGAGAGTGCAGCCTAGGTCCCATGATTGCATACAGTGTTGGTCCCCTATCTACCCCCCCCCCCCCAAATAATTGACTGTCTGTTTGGGGGGAGATATTGGGAAAGAACCCATCCCTGATTTTCGGCATAAGCAGTAGGACAAAAGAATTGGCAAACATATGTACCTTGCAACTGACTCTGACCCACTCACACTTCTCTGTGTCAAAATATAACAATTGATCATTCCACCCTCGCTCAGCCTGAAAATTATAACAACAATAAAATCAATGATAAAATCCTTACAAGAATTCACATTAAACTATTATGAAAATTAGATTCCCATAATTATATATCTACATGCTGCAGGAGATCGCGGATTATGGAGAGGCATGATCGCCCACGCCAGTCGGCAAGGCACCTGATGATGATGATGATGATGAATTATATATCCAAGGAAGAAAATTAACACTATGAATGATCTACAGTGAAATACTTTAAAACTACTAAATGCACCGTGGAAGTGACCACAGCTGAAAGAATGTTTCTTTAGTTTACCATTAACTTCCATGATTCAGGGGTTGTGAGCGTAGTCTCATAATTGCTATATGAGGCCAGGTTGATTCTAGGGCAGTGCCATTCAGACCTAAATAATATCTGGCAGGTAAGTTCACTAATAGCTATATCACAATATCTACATCATGTAAATGAGCAGTTAATTAAAAGTACATTTAGGGGGGGGGTAAAATTTTCTGGTATCAGTAAGATTAATGTTGTGAATTATCTGAACAGAAAAGGAAAGAGGAAGCAGAAAGTGGGAGTAATAATCTAACAGGTGCCTTCTCAGCATGTCTCGACTCTTTCAGCACCAAAATCTCAACATGTTCTTTTTTGCTGTATTCTATCATAGGTGTCTTCTATCACATACAGACGTTCTCTACCATAGATGTCTTCTCTCAAAGACATCTTCTATTACAGACAGACATCTTCTATCACAGACAGACATCTTTTATCACAGACAGACATCTCCTATCACAGATAGCTGTCTCCTATCACAGACAGCTGTCTCCTATCACAGACAGCTGTCTCCTATCACAGACAGCTGTCTCCCATCACAGACAGACATCTTCTGTCACAGACAGATGTCACATTAACCCACTGTATGTGAATTATTAGTATACTTTTGCAGTGTCTTTCTTTTGTATGTGTGAATTTATCTATGTTTGTTTGGAAATACTGTGAATGTATCTATGTTTGTAGGTTCTGGAAATACTGTGAATGTATCTTTGTTTGTAGGTTCTGGAGACAGAGGGTTGGAGATCAATTGCAGCCAACCTTCGTTGTGAAGACGGCACCTGACCGATTAATATAGGTGCAGTATGTATGTACACCTGCATTACCATCTACGCTTTTGTGTAGTTATTTTACATATATTTTGAACATAACATGCTTTAAGGAAAAAATGCAACTGCAGTATGAAAGGTGAGTGTCTGAAAGGGCCAAATGTAAGATGGACCTGTGTGCCCAATTTATAGTTTGTTTGTTTATTTATTCTTCCATCTTTCAGGTTTTTTTTTTAAATATCCAGAAACCATGAGTTGTTAACCCTTTGGCTCGGTACTATAAATATCGCAACTCTTCAGCTTTGATTCCATGACAGATACTGTAAATCTGGGAGAAATGTGGCTTTTCTGCCTAGCCCTGGGCGTAACTCGGACCACCAGGAGTTCGCCACCCGGTCACCGCGAAGTCCGGTTCAACCAACTATGCTAGCGAGCCAGGCTTCAGTTCTTTCAAACTCAACCCCATGGGACAAAAAGTGGTTAAAAAATAACTCCTTTGGATTGAAAGAGTCAAACATAATAGTAATAAGACTTACCCAGGCTTCTTCTGAAAACACATCAGCACTCTTGTCCCACAAATATGAGTAGGGTGCGATGCCAAACCCTCCAAAACAGTAGATCCTGGACAGAAGAAAAAATGGGAAGATCATTTGCCAGTCAGCACTACATATTGTCATGTGATGTCAGACAAATCTTCTTCTGTGATGTAAAATTGGTGCATCTTGCATTCATTGGCCTGAATGTATGATGTGTTCCCTGGGACTGAAAGAGTTATTATAAGGGTGGTTGAAATACTGTGGTTTACAGCTAGGCTGCAATATCCATGTTGTTCGGCATAACACAACTTATTTTATCAAAGCCTTAACCCTTTCGCTGCTATGGACGTCTTTTCCTGATTTCCCGTACGCTGCTACGCCCGTCTTTGGACATTATTTTTTTTCTTGACCCCCAGTACTATGGACGTCCCAAGCCATTTTTGGACTTTTCTTACAGATTTCTGTGACCTCGTATTTTATTGGCTGAAGGGCAATATACATTAGCTATATTTAGATTAAACTTACACATTTACAACCGATTAAAAGCACTAGCACGTTATCCCATTGCTTTGTTTACCGTGACAGCGTCGTCGGTGATCTGTGTATGTTGTGCCCTGATATATATTTGTGCTTTTGGATTATTCTACACTTAGCACAAAATGGCAAGAAAACTTGTTAAAGGTGAGGAAGAATTGATGGAGTTTCTGTCAAGGAGTGATAGCGAAGATGACTTTGAAAAGTGTACTGACAGTGAACAAGAAGATTACACTAGGCCATCAGTATCGACGGTTCAAACCAGCGTGTCCAAGAAAAAGCTGTTTGCCTGTCCGACGTCATTTATCATCGGAATCAGAGAGCAGCGACAATAAAGTGCCATCAAAACGGCAATAAATTGATCAGTTGTCTTGGTCAACCGATGATTTGATACCAGCAGTGCATGATTTTGATGACTCCAGCTCTGGCTGTATTTCTGCTACTGTAAATTCAAACAGTTCAGTCACTATAAATTCTCATCTTTCCCGATGGACAGACACAGATTCAGACGAACTTTTTTTTTTTTTTTTGCTGTCTGTCTGCTAATGCTTAACAAAGAACAAAGAAACTCAAAATAGAGTACTTGAGCAAAGACTGTTTGCTAAAAACTCCTGTGAAATATCGAGGGACAGATTTTTACTATTTTTGAGAATCTCAAACATTTCTCAGATAACAGTGCTCATGCAGGCAGCGATAGACTGTACACAATTAGACACATTATTGATAGTCTGCGCACATCATTCATTATCATCATTCACACAGCACAATGCTTCAAGCGGTAGTATAGTGAGTGTAGTTGGTATCACGTCTGCGTTAGAATCGGAGGGTCGTGTGTTCAACTCCCAAATTTTTTTTTTTTTAATTATTGTAAATTTTTCTTTCAGTTCCTGCTACTTTTCAGCAACGGATGACTCAAGTATTATTAATATTATTTTGGTATGTAATAACATGGTGACTACAAATAACTATGATTAAAGTGGGAGCCGTGGTAGGTTCGTCAATCCCATTTTGGGATACGGACTGGAAACAGTTCTTCCCATTATTTCCCCCCCCCCCCCCACCACCCCCAGGGGGTGATAGCTCCGTTAGTCAAGTTTGTGGGGCACCATGGTGCCTCTGACTTGTCACCATTCGGACCAACCACACATCTCCCCAGGGTAAAAAATTTTAGGTGTACAAAACATAGCCCTCACCGCCAACGCATATTTTGCGTTTGGTGGATAGAAAAGTATTGCGCACAGCAGAGACTTTTTTTTCCACGTTGCTTAGCACAGGGTAGACAGCTATTTCCGGAAACGTAGCAGCAAAAGGGTTAATTAGCTACCTTTTATGAAATGCTTGTTAAGAAGTAGCGAGTCCTTTCTTTTTTTTTTTCTACAAGGGGCCCTGAAACCCACCGGGGAGGGGGGAGGGGGGGTTCAGAAAAATCAGTCCATTATTTTCATGTACATATCACCTTCTTTTGGGCTGTCTCCTTCTCCACAATGAAAAACTACATAGAAATTAATCTACTAACGGCCTCAACTATATTTATCGCAAAAACAAAATCACAATTTCAACAAGGCAGTGCGCATCCATAGTTACGATCGCAGGTGGTGCGATTGTGTTAGCCAGGTGCAAACAGCGGATCGAAAAATGTGCAGTCGTGGTAGTCGGTTGGTTAATCTTAGTCTTGGTATTAGTCAAGGTTTAAACATCACTGCAATAGGGTTTTCCCCATACTTGCTCCTTCCCTGTGCCAGTGCGAATCAAATGTAATGTCCCTCATTATTGCAATTGAAAAACTGGTGAACAAACAAGTCAATTAGCTAAGTTAACAGCAAAAAATTAATGGTAATTTTGATTAGACATCTAAGAAGTAACCCTAATTTAAAAAAAAAAAAGAAGAAGAAAATAAGCAACTAACAAACTATTGTATATGTAAAGTTAAAAGTGAAGTAAAGTTGTAAATGTAAATCTTGCATGCAGAATTACCTGTTTCTATAAACCCAGGCTGCTGCCTTGTCCCGAGGTGATATGTTAGGCTCCTTCAGTCGGACTCGCTCCCATGTTAAATTAATCAAATCCAGCCGATGCATGTCATTAACGTTTCCCCCCATTGTGTGTCCACAAAAGATATACCAGTAAGGCCACACAAGGGCGCTGCATGCGCCAGATCTCTTCTCTGGTACTCTCCCCGCAACTTTGTAGTGCATCCTGGCAATGAGTAATCATAACATACAAGTTTCAAACAAGACTGACATTGTGCACATCATATGCCATGGATAACAATTCTGAGATTGTGAAGCACAACAAAAGTTTTGGATATTGACTGTGTAGCACAACATAGGTTTTGTGTATTAATTTTGAGATTGCCTATAACACAACATAGGTCCCCCGTGTGGGTTCCGGGGCCCTATTATAGGGAAAACAAGAATAGACCCACTGCCTACCCAAAAGCATGTCGTGAGAGTTGACTAATTGGGAGCTTCCTTCGAAGTCGGAGTGCATCTGCCTGAGAGGCAAGGAACCAGAAGTCTGCATACAAATGAGTCAGATCTGTAAAACGGATGCACACGCAACACTCAGGTTCTGGAACAGGACTGCAGTCCAGCAGTGGATAAACAACCAGAACTTTCCGCCAGAGTTTACAGCTGGTGATCGCAAAGAAGAAGAAGAAGAAGGCAACATAGGTTTCTTAAATTAATTACTGAGTTTGTGTAGCATAATTTGCCCCATGTCCCAGTCATATTTTTTTTTCACTTCACTCTGTGATTTCTTTCTCTGTTGGTGATTTTGGGTCTGCTTCTATGTTTGTGACCCTAGAGGTTCAGTTCAAATACACTCTAGTTACACTGTTAAGAACATAAGTGATTGTACCATACAATTCAAGTCCTTCAATTCTGTGCAGGCACACTATATAGTCTTCTTCTTTGCATTCACCAGCTGTAAACTCCGGCGGAAAGTTCTGGGTCTTAGTCCACCTCTAGACTTTAGTCTTGTTCCAGAACACGAGTGCTGCATGCAGATCCATTTTACAGATCTATTCTTTGCCTCTCAGGCAGATGCACTCCAACTTTGAAGGAAGCTCCCAATTAGTCAACTCTTACAACAGGCTTTTGGGCAGGCAATGGGTCTATTCTTGTTTTCCCTACAATAGGGCCCCAGAACCCACATGGGGAACACTATGTCATGAATGTTTGTAGTGTATTAATAACAGTTTTATTGCTTTTCATGTATACAGATACCCCCCAAAAACAATTGTGTCAACTCATCAACGGAGATAGCCTACAATTTATTCACCGCTAAGTATGGGAATACTAAGTGGTGAGGCCCCAATCTCTGTCATAGTGTGACTCTCATACCTCTGTCTGAAAAACATTAGGTTTTTTTTTTAAAAACCAGGGACAGAAACTTGCTAAACACTGAGGACTGCAGTGTGAAACGATTTCACTAACCACTAAGCCACAGAACTGCACAAATACATACCACACATCCAAATCTAGATTATAAACCCACAAGGAAGAACAGTCACAGTATGTTGAGCCCTCCTTGTCCTGAAGAAGTAAACAACGATCATTATGGCATTATTACCAGTGCCAGATTTGGTCACTCACATCAAACCAATAAAGAAAATTAGTAACCACAGAAATAAGATCTCTGAGAAGGACTGCAGGAGGGATCAGAAGAGATAAAATCAGGAATGAAGTCATAAGAGAAAAAGTCAGCATAGAACCCATTCCAAATTACACCCAAAGACAGCAAATCAAATGGTTTGCTCAATCAGAGATGTCTTGTGGCACCATACCATACAAGGCGTACAAGAAAAGAGGAGCACGTAGATCACGAGGTAGAACAAGAACAAGACGTAAAGATAACATCGGAGAAACTCTACAACAGCATGATATATCTCTAGTCAAGGTACCAAAAAAGCAAGAAGCAGAAGCTTTTATCTCCCTTGACACCCTAGCTCTTATGAGTATCTGTGGTGAAGTGGTCCAGCCATCTGCATCAAGCTCTAAAGGTTGGATTTGTTTCAAGGAGTCTTTTGACTCAAAAGTGCAATTTTGAAAGTGCTCCCTGGGAATCTTCAACACAGCTACAAAGTTCATGCTTTGTGCTACATTCTCTATGGTCTGGAAATCCCTAGGAATCATCAATGCCATAAAGTTCACGCTCTGTGTTATGTTCTCTGAGGCTGCATAGCCATTTTTTAAAGAGACAAAGCCTTGTGGGATAATACTTGCTGCAATGAAATCAATACTCTCTACTTAAAGATTTGTAACTTTATGATTTAGTTTTGGTAGGCTTTGCATAAAGACTTTTAGGGCTAAGAGACTGTCTCCTCAATCTGTGGTGGTTAGTCTTCAGAAGTGAAGTATTTTTCCAACTAGCAGTGCTCTGAGATTTACAGCCTCATAAAAATAAGTACCAGATAATTTGCAGAATTTTATGAACATTTCCTGCCAAAAAAAAGGAACTGGCAAACTCCATCTCACGGACTAGAAAAAATGAAGGCCAAATATCCTGCATTTAAACAGCAGTATTTGCTATTGGATAACCTATACCTTAAAGCACTTCTTTAAAGAAAATGTTTAAACATAAAAAATTTAAAAAAAGATGTTCAAACACACAAATGTGATTGCTTTACTTACATTGTAGCCTCCCCAAATTAAAAGTTCATCCTTAACACAAACAGCATTATGTCCACATCTGTCTACGCAGTAGTATTCACTCTCGTGTCTTATCTGTGGGGTAAGTTTTCTACTTTGCCAAGCTGGCAAAGAACAAAGAGATTTCAATGCCATACTGGTAGTTCAACTGTTAAATGTAATATATGATGTCCACTCATGATAATGAGGCAATGTTTGTGAATGACATCAGTTATATTTTCTGCAAGTACAAAAAAGAATTCAAAATTGATATAAGCCAATTTCAATTTCTTTTTTATTTTCAAATATCTAAAAATAAATATAACAATTATGCTTTTTACTTTTTGTCCTCAGCAGTTATCTTTTCATAAAAATGAGAAAGAAAAATGTATCTCAGGAGAAAGGTTTAAGGATCCATGACTTTCGTCTAAGTTATACTGTTTGGTCACATGTTTATAGATTGTTTTAATGCAGCTGTATTAGCCTCTTCTTGACTCTGGCTGCTTTCTGATCACAACATCTATTCTGTCACTTTCTGACTGTCTTAAATGATCTTCTTCTTATTTTCCACCATTTACCTCAGTGAGGTGGAGGGAGATGTAAAGATCATTTGTGCCCTTTTTTCAAATGCACTGTACAAGTTGGTGTTCATTTCTGTTAGGTTGCTCCTGATGATGTCGCTCCATTTCTTGCATGGTCTTCCCCTTGCTCTGTGATTGTAATATTACTTCAGCGTGGATCTCTGTGACAGTTGGTACTTGGGCATTCTCCTCAGGTGGCCAAAACATCTCATCTGTTGTTCTTTAATGAACTGTGGGAGGCGACGTTTCAGAAAATCAAAGCAGTGTTTCCCCAATGCATATTTCACTGTATCTCATCAGGTGCATGCTACAGTAACAATTGATTAAAATGAAGCAAATAGCTGAATCCTAGAAACTGAAACACAAATTCGAGTATATTCTGAACTGTCTGTTTCACCAAGGTAACCGTAAGGTAATGACCATTTCTTTCTGCCTACAGAGTTCTGGTTTCAACCGGCTGATTGCTGAAGCTTCCGCATATCGGAATAATCCATGGTTGGCCGAATTGTAAATAATTTTAAATGCATCATCCCTGTTAATGATGTGCCTGGAATTAAAAATATGGCACGCAATTGCTGATGATGGATTTTGTCGACCAGTCACCTGATTCGTTGTTGTTGAGGTGTTAGTTTTCTGCATTGCTTTTACAACCCATAGTGGAATATGTTCAGCAACCCGTTTCAGGACATATTATGAAAAGGAATGGACTCGGGGAACCTGGTAACCACTGGCAAGACTGATGGAAAAAGATAAATACCTGGATGGCCTGACCAAATAGATGGGCCGAGACAGAAACTGTAACTGATCCCTGTGAGATGGTTAAAAATAACAGCTTAAGCTTAAAGTACGGCCCATGAGGTTATTAAGTGTTTTGTTTTAGCTGTTCTCCATGTTGTTAGTTCCACACTATATCACTATACATGCAGGTACTGATCTGAGTGTTTCCTTCAAATCAAAACAGGTGATCATCTGCTTGAGAGGCACAGAACTAACAGTTTGCTGCAAGATTTGATGATTTGTAAAACGGATGTGCAGGCAAAAATCAAGTTATGGATCAAGAACAGCAAAGTCCACGGGTGGAGGAACAACTACCAGAACTTTCCTTCAGAGTTTACGGAAGGTGAACGTCAAGAAGAAGAGTGCTTACAGTCCGCTCTGGGTGGTGATCTGACCGGTGTGCTGCGAACAGCCGCCACAAAAAAAAAAAAAAGTCAAAAGATACGACACGCAAAATGCAATTACCCTGCTCTCATAATTTAAACATGGAATCATATCAAAACATCCCCCACTTGCTCTTTTATTGTATTTCTCACGCTTATCTAGTTATAAGATGTAAGCTACAGTCTGCAAATGATTTAGCTTTAATAATTTAATTGAAAACCAAGGCAGGTCTTGTAGTATTTAAGTTGTAAACAAAACATAAGAGAAACAGCTGTGCCAGGCTTTTATTGTTTCAATGTCAAACACAAATTCCTTTCGCCTATGTGTTTCTTTCCTTAGTCGCTAGTCGAGGTTCCAAATTTACTGCCCATTTGGGTCTCTTAGGTTAATCACCCATTAGCTTCTTTTTCTTCTTCTTCTTTTTCTTTTTCTTGTATCCCAGTTTTCTTTAAAAATCCGCAAAGATGGATTATACCAAATAATTATCACACAGTTTGAACATATTAAACTTAACAATCGTGCAATATATTATAATTCATGTTAAATTGTGAAATGTTAAGTAACCACGTAATTGAAAAGCATAAATAAACTATATCAAAATGGGGTAAAACAAACGGTATACATCCCATTTATAACCCAGATAAATGGGACATGATATCGTTGTTCACACTACAATTACTAATACTGCTACTAGATTTTTTTTTTTTTTTTTCAGGCGGTGTACAGCGGCACACACTACCGGCACTTATGTTTAGGGATCATTTGTATCAGCGTGTCTGTAGCTTAGGCACTGCGAACACGCTTCGTAAGTCCGGGGTATCCAATTGATTGTAGCTGCGGATGAATTACCAGCAGACATCCTTTTGTTAACTTTGAGGGCCCACCTCTAGGAACAATGGCAAACTAAGGTTAGTTGCGTATCCTTTACAAGACGTTGCAGAACCAACCCCATCAGCCCCTGGCTGTTTTGTGGCTTCACTAGGCAAATTTGCGTCCAGTAGTTTGCCATTTCCCTGGACGGTCGGCTCCCTGATACCACTGTCGAAACCAACGCAAGGCGTAAGGCCCGTAGCTGGGATCAAACCCAGGACCCGGGCATTACGAAGCGTTCGCATCGACTTAGCCACAGAGGCGACAATGGCAAACTACTGAAGGTAAAAGTGGCTTGTAAAACTAAAACAGCCAACAAAATACTGGGATATGTTCTGCAAAGGATACGCAACCAGCATTTAAACTGCAGCCATAGACACTGTGTGGTGAATTCAGGCACCTTTTTCATAAACGTTGTGGTGATTACAGACAAATTTGTTTCTATTAAAAAAAAAAAAGCCTTGACTAGTGCTGCGGCTACTGCTACCACCACCACCACCACTACTACTACTACAAATGTATAGGCCTACTCTGAGAACTGAATTAAGACTATACATCCCACTTATAACCCTGAGGGTTCAACAGGATATTTTTTTTTAAGTTACTACTACTACTACCACTACCATTTTTTTTAAATGTGTCTCAACTCAGCATAAAGTCTCAACAATTTTTCAGTACTCAACAAAATGTGGCTATGATGTATCGCTGAACAAAGTGCCTAAAATAGTAGGCCGTGGTTCATACCAACCTGGCAGGATGGTTATTCAAGGGACAGCAATGACAACTGGAGAACTTCGTCATGACTTCTGTGATCTACTGTTGTGGGTTTAGACATTTGACGCTGAAAACGCAGCCAGTCTGCGTTAATTTTGTTGTTAGATGTCTAGCAACTGAGAGGCCTGGGCGCCAGCTGTCAAAACAGGAGGTAAGCTTTCCAATACAAGTGAATTTTCTTTGTTTATGGATCATCATAACATAATAACAATAACTTTTGAATAACAACTTAAGCTATCCTCCGAATAACGGTCCTAAATTATCTACGCAGCAAATGAACCAAAACAGAGCTTCAGTTATATTTTATATTTAAAATTCGCATTTCTTTTGCGGCTAATCAACCGCGTCAAAAGTAGTATTAACTGCGCACGAAATTTTCGCGAAACACAACGGATTTTTTACGACGATTAAACGGAGGCAAAACTAGGATTAACTACAGACGAAAAATTAGCGAAACACAAGAATAAAATACACCCGATAGGGCTATCCTACTGCAGGGCACAGTTATATGTAAGTTGCGGACCACTTTCCGGCGACTATAGTGCCACCCCCCAGAGTATCCAACGCGCCGCTATGCGCTATGAGGAAGGGGCTAAACAAGATGGCTGGGACTCACGAGCAGCAGCTACCACTTCTGCAACTTCCTCCATTGTATTTGCTCGTGAGTCCTAGCCATCTAGTTTAGCCCCTTCCGCGGCGCTGGGATACTTTCGGAGGTGACACTATAGTCGGCGGAAAAAAAGTCTCACAATTTACATGAGCTACTTCTTCCGTTGCAACTACCAGCGTGGTCGGGCTAGTGGAGCGCCATAGTGGCCGCTGCTGGTTTGAAGTTGTCCCCAGGCGAGATGCGCGTACATTAGAACGCGTCATTGCTGATCACGTGTTGCCCGGAACAAGAATTGTGACTGACGCTTGGCGAGTCTACAGCAACGTTTGGAAATTAAAACATGGCATTTACGAGATCACCCTATATTTGGCGGAGTTGCAGTCGCAGTACAGCAAAAAAGAACACATATTCGGGCACTATTTGCAACTTCTGTGCCGCTATTTTCACATATAAATGATTTAATTATCGGTAAGTAGTAGACTTCCCCCCTTTCTTCATACTTTTCGTTCCTTATATTTTCAGAGTTACAACTTTTAAATCTTTGTAGGGCATGACGTAATGAGGCTCTGTTAGGGTTCATTTTCTGCGTAGATAATTTAGGACCGTTATTCGGAGGATAGCCACAACTTAAGACTCACTCTAGTCGTACTAGTTACATACATCTTTCTGAAGATTACATTACCTTACCACACTGATGTTTAAAACAGCCTTTTTTTTTTAAAGTTAAATTATATTAATAAATAACAGCTATAGCTGTACTGTAGTTATTGTAGCGCTCTGAACAGATCAATAGATGGTCTGATATCTTACTGAATAGCTCCACTGGTATAAAACAACTGACTGATCATGATCATGTACGTTCTGTCTTGTACACTTAGGGAAATGTTGCGTCTGGCTGTTTCATATGTAGTCTATTTAGTGTTTATCCCCATAGCCACAGCCTGGACAGGGATACTGATTAAATTGATGATATATTTAATTTCCTGTCACAACCATACCGCCTGGTGCAGTCGATCCCTTAACTTAAAACTGTAAATCGATGATTTAATTACAATTAACAGTCATGTTGACTGTGGTTCTGTATTTTATGTGCTGAGAGGTTTCAAAGCATGGTGTCTGCCTCGAGTGCTGGAGGTCCCGGTTAAGGCTGAGATTTTTCATGTGGACTTCTAGTAATTTCCCCTGGTCTCTGGGTAGTAAGATCGGACGCCCATGGTAATGTTGGGCACGTTAAAAAAAATCCCTTGGCAGTTGGAAATCAAAAAATGTTTAGCCTAACGGCACTGCCCAGCCAAAATTTGGAGTTAAAAATATGCCCAGAACTATTTCAGCATCCTTGTCAGTGCTACGGAATTCACACACTGCGCTGAGAATCTTTGGGCTCATGCTTAAGTTTAAAGTTTAACGGAACACTTATGGGTAACTACCCTTGTGCCATGATTTTGATCCCTAGTAGAAACAAACTATATTTTATGTTTTAACTTATGAGGCCCATGAATTTTGATGGAATTTCAGTGTCTGAAAATGGTGCACACAATATATTTGACAGTTGTGCACCTAAATGTATACACAAACAGACAAACATGTTTAATGGTAGTTCCGAACATTAAAAGCAAATACGAAGCAGTATGCGAATCAGTATGTACAGGACACACATTCGAGGCAGACTGTATGGTTTGGTCAAATCAAAACTTCTCAATCAACACACATAGCATTGCTCAGGTCTGAAAGAGTTAAACTTGGTCATGTTTCTTTCCTTTACAGCCTAGAAAGTTAAAAATTACGCCAGTCCCACCTCCAAGTGGTTTGACAGATGCAATTGGCCCACCTGACTCGATTTCAAACATCCGCCCAATACAGTTCTATGTTCCACCTGATGAAACACACACAGAGAAAGATTTTCGACTTCAGCGACAAGAAGTTCTTGAGTGGAACAAACAGTTCTGGACAGACCACAACTCCAGATTTTTCCAGGTTTCTTTGTTTGACTTCGTGTTTAATTATGTTGAATAACTTTATAAATTTGTGAATAGAACAATTATGTTAAATCTGTCTTTATCAATTGAGCTGTGAAAGAGTTCTTGAGAGCTGCATAACACCATTCCTGGTAAATTGAAGTGAATCATGGACATTTTGCAAACTTTAAAAATGAAAATTTGTGGACATATTTAATTTTAAAAAATATATTGAAGGTGTCTTAACAGAAATTAACTCACAAACAGGACTGATTACCTGCATTAGACAGATGATAGTTATTCTTTGCTCACTTTGAGAAAAGGGTTAAAGTAAGTACTTTGTGGAAAGAGGACAGTTGGGAAGGGAAAGGGAAAGATGCTAAGACGGAAGAGGCTGGAAAATCTGGCATTATAAATTATTGACTTACATGAGACAGCAGGCTGTGGATGACATGATTATCAAAAGCACATGGCAAGGACTTTAAGAAGAAGATCATAGGGTAAAACATTGACAGAATCACCTATGCTGAATTTATGAATATAAATAGGCAGATTCCAGCTCATCACGAGATGGAGAAAAGATATATTTTTAGAAAAGCTGTTGAGTTAAGAACTTGCATTGCAGCACTTGGAAGATTCCTATAAGCCTCTGATATTCAGCAGCTGACCCAGAGTTCCAATTCCACTGGTACTAGTAGCAGTTTGATAATATGTCTGCCTTCCCTGTCCTCTGAGTGTACAGTGTCAGCCAGATCCCCTGGTCATTCATAGCTGGATCATTCTCTACAGACCATAATGATCTCTTTGCATCGTTCACTTGCTTCCAACTGACAATGCACATGAAATAGGGGGAGATTTTAAATCATGCATGGAGTGCATATGCCTGAGAGGCAAGGAACCAACAGTCTGCATACAAATAAGCAAGATCTGTAAAAGGGATGCCCATGCCCCCAAAGTCCAGAAATGGGCAAACAACCAGGTCTTTAAAGCCAGGGTTTACGGCCAGTAAACACAAACAACAAATCATTCATGAAAGTGAATTAGAGATATGGGTGAACAATATTTGGAAGACATAAAGAGAACTGTAGTGCAAGACAAAGCAAAAGAAAGAATGGGTTGGTTTCAGATGGTTGAGGAATAGGGCTCTGAGATAGCTGAAGATAAAATCAGTTGGCTTCGCGTTGCTAAAATATAGTGCTCCATTGGTGGCTAAAGGGTTAAAATATAGTGCTCCATTGGTGGCTAAAGGGTTAAAATATAGTGCTCCATTGGTGGTTAAAGGGTTAAAATATAGTGCTCCATTGGTGGCTAAAGGGTTAAAATATAGTGCTCCATTGGTGGCTAAAGGGTTAAAATATAGTGCTCCATTGTTGGCTAAAGGGTTAAAATATAGTGCTCCATTGGTGGCTATAGGGTTAAAATATAGTGCTCCATTGGTGGCTAAAGGATAAAAGATAGATGAACTAACTAAACTAATTTTAACCTTGGATGCATAACAGCTCTTCACTAAATCTTATATTTCTTTCTGTGTTATTATAATGTTTAATTTTGTTTATCGACTGTCTTTCTCAATTCTTGCATTATTCTAACACTCTAAATATCAATTCTTTATATTGTATAAGATGAAAGGAGCTAAGTTGGCATTGGCAATCTAGTTTCCTTTCAGCTTTCTTCCTACCACTTCTCTTCTTTTGTAGGTATGCACATTTTCCAAAAGTGAAAACACCCTAATCACATAAAATTGTATGTGTGCATTTTTCTTGTAATAAGAAAAGTTGTATCTATACTTTAGTTGATTTTAGACATATTCATGATGTTCCCAGACAGTTTTTTGCTTGAAGGAGTTTCCCCCATCTTGGTGGCTAATAATTTCTTGTTTGCTTTTTAGATTTCTTGATCGTTCAAATTTTTTGCTTCTGACAGCTGATGGCTTTTGCCTTTTCCTCCATTTGTAGACTGAAAGGATATAGTTTTTCACCAGCTACTGAGTGCATGGCGTGACACTGTGAGCTGCAGATTTCATTTGAAACATTTTTTTGACTGTGACCGACGTGATGTTGTGAACTTTAGATCCATAAAACAGCATATTGCTTGTTGCCACACTATTGATTGTGCCTTGTGTGATTAAAATTTATTGCGAGTGCAACTGCTGATCTTTTTGTAGCTGCTGCTTTCGTCTGATGAACTACTTTTCTAATGACGGACTGTTTCTATTTGCGCTTCTGATGGCTGCCTTATACTTTTAATGTGTCTGTATGCTAGTAGATATGCTGAGACTGCAGTCTGTGTCAGTTTTTCCACAAGAGACAGTAATGGACATTCGTGTCTTTTCATTGGTACAGAAGCAAAGCAATTATGGGTTGACCTGTTTGCAATGATGCTGAAACTAATATTACCAAGTTATTTTATTTTTTTCCCTCGGGCAAAACTCAATTCTTAACCTACCCAGTATGTGGGTTTATGGTGAGTCCACTAATCATGTGGCCCTACATCCTCAGGCTTAAGGACTTCTGCACTGTTAATACAGCCAGTAATGATGAAGACATATAGTTGGTTGGCTTTTGTGACTAAAGTCTTTACAGATTGAGGAAAACTAATCTAAACCCAGTTTTACCCTTTGCCACCTGTAAAGACAGTCGGGTAGAGTACAGTGTTACTGTTCTGTGCTTCCTCTAAGCACCTCTGCAACACACTGATATATTTTTTGTAACCTTCTTTATCAGCATTTCAAGCCCTTGAGGTCCATTGCTGCCGAGGTCACCCACGTCCATCATCTTTGTTTTTGGCCTTCTGTTTCCAGTTAGCGACTCCAAGTGTTTGTAGGTCTGCATGGATACTATCTCTCCATTGTCTTCTTGGTCTGCCCATTCACCTCTTTTGTGTACACTGTTTTTGTCTCCTGTTATCTGCCGTTGCGTCTATATGCTCCAACCATTGCCGTCTATTAGCTATCATAATGCCAGTAATTAGTAGCGATTTGAGGAGATTATGAATTTTGTTGTTGTTCTCACTCTGTATTCTTCAATGTATGCTTCTTTGGTGGGTTCAGAGATTTGTCGTAAGATTCAAGTGTTCGTCCTTTTCTTTTAGTTCACACCATCTTAGGGACTTGGAGATTCTGTGGGAAGTTCCCAGTAAAGTCCAGTAGAATAGGGGTGCAAGGGTGTGAAATGAACACCGACTATCACTAACCCTAACTCTCCCACCCCCTATAATATTGGACTTTCCTGGTAACTCCCCACAAAATCTAAGAGTCCCAGAGATAGGGTGAGCAAACCAAACATAAAAAGGACCCAAATGTTATCCATAGATATGTCATAGAGTAAGGTTTTACAGTGGTGGGCGTGTCTGCCGCAGGTTTCAGCTCCCAACCAGGAGGACCAAGGTGTGTCTCTTTGTTCTCTACACTTTGACCTATTCAGCTTTGGAGGCCCCCTTTGTTGGCTATGCTACCACCAGCATAGCTTCTATGTTTTTTAAGAAACATAAGTTCCCCCCCCCCCCTTTTTCAGTGTGGCAAGTGGGGATGCCCCCATCCCATGGAAGATTTTTATTTTAACCTACTCAAATTTATACATTTTGTTAATTTGATTTTTTTCCAATGGTTATTTTCCAGGAGAAGGAAGAATATGTTCAAGCTCATCAAGCCAAAGACAGTGAAGGGAATATTCAAAAGCTCTCTCCGGAAGAGATGTCTGTATTTTATAAGACATTTCTCAATAAGAACTGGCATTCTCATCTGAATTACAACAAGTGAGTTTGTATGCAAGAATAGTTTTTGTAGATTCTCGTTTAAATCGTCTGTTGAGGGGGGCCACCTTTATGATTAGGAAGGAGTCGAGGTAACACAGCTTCTAATATATTTGCTTACCAGCCCATGGACATTGATTTAAATCCCCAATGAAATATTTAATCCTAATTTTTTTAAATTATTGAACACAGGCTTCCAATTTCTTCTCCATCTTTACGTCCTCTTTTACCACTTCTTGTGTTAAGGAAGATATAAGGTTCTGCTTCTTGCTTTTCTGGTCATTGACACATTGTGCTGTTGTAGAGTTTCTCTGATGTTATCTCTCCATCTTGTTCTTGCTCTTTCTTATGCTGTTTGTCTTTCTTTTCTTTTAATGTGTGGTATGGTGTCACAAGACATTCTTTCTTAGTTGGCAAACCATTTGATTTGCCATCTTTGTATTTAATTTAGAATTGATTGTGTGCTGACTTTTTCTCTTATGACCTCATTCCTGATTTTATCTCTTCTGGTCACTCCTAGGGCTCTTCTCAGACATCTCATTTTCCTGGTTACTTTCTTTTATGATATGTTGAAATTGACAGTCTGGTACTTGTAGCATAGAGTGAGAATAAATTGTCTTTGTATGAGATATTTTTTGGGGGGGGGGGGGGGGGGGGTGCCGATCAGGATTATCATTTGCTGTAGGAGAGGAACTAGCAGTCCAAATATTTGGTTTGCTTTACTGCATCAGATGTTTGTTTCTTTACCCAGTTTACCATCTTTGGTGAATGTTGTTCCCAGATATTTAAACTCAGATGCTCCCTTTATGGGTTCAAGGGCCCTGTTATAGAGAAAACAAGAATAGACCCACTGCCTACCCAAAAGCATGTTGTAAGAGTAGACTAATTGGGAGCTTCCTTCAAAGTTGGAGTGCATCTGCCTGAGAGGCAAGGAACCAGCAGTCTGCATACAAATGAGTCAAATCTGTAAAATGGATGCACACGCAATACTCAGGTTCTGGAACAAGATTGCAGTCCAGAAGTGGATGAACAACCAGAACTTTCTGCCAGAGTTTACAGCTGGTGATTGCGAAGAAGAAGAAGAAACCCAGGTGCATGTTGAATACTTCCAACATCAACTCAGCCTAAAGTAAGTAAAGGACTCTTGTACATGCCGTTGCCTCGTTGGGTATCTAATGCTAGAATAATATTGTTATATACCAGTTGGTTCTCAGATGGTGGTGTGCCACACATCATTCCTGCAACCCTCAGTTCTATACATTTCTCTGCCATCATATCTCTCTTTCCAGTTGTTAGTATTTCAGGATCCTCGCCGGTGCTACAGAGCCTGTGTGCACTGTGCTGAGCCTCTCTAGACTCAGATTTTAATTAGAAGAAGAACTTTAATTTTAGTTGTTAGATTAATTGTTGTTCTGAAATATGAGGTAAGTCTTCACAGGAAGAATTTTGACATTAAAAATGTATCGACAGCAAAAATGTAGAAGCTTAACTGTCTACACAGTGGCACTTGAAAAGATTGCAGAGAATTTTTTTTTATTAAGATATATTTAGTAAGTATTCAGTAAAAAACAACAGAGTGAAGCATTCAATAGAATGCATTCCCCAGGGCCTAAACAAACATGTACTAGGTGACTCAGGCTGTGACCCCATGACTTCTATCACTGGTGCTTACAGGAAAAAAATGTGTCCACTTTGATTTTGAAAAACGGTTGTTGGATTTACAAGAAAGGAAGCTTGTGTGTGGCTAACTACATCATCCAGCAGGGGCCAGTTGGTCTGTCAACAATTATGGATCTAACAATAAATACCTGATGAGCTAATAACGAGAACAGGATCTTTTACTTTATTTTTTTACACGATCCTGCAAAGGTCAGAACTGAATTGGACAGCTGAAACAGAACCCCTGTTCACAGGCCTTATGGACATATTACAGTATATCTCGTTTTCTAATGTATAAAAATTGTTAAATCAAAAAATTTTCCTTATCTGTTGCAGGGAGTGGTACAAGAAAAACGTGTCCCTGCTCTGGCCCGCTTTTAAAGTTTTAATCATACGTCTGACAAGAAAAATGAAGAAAACATAGCAGCCCTTTTTTATTTGTCTACATTTTAATAGAACTGTTCTAGGTTTTATATTCAGATTAAATATCAAAGAAAACCAAAATTACAACTTGTCAGTTAGATATTGTGCTTGCTGTTAGGTTTTATATTGGTTTCCATTTAAAAGAGTTATTCCAATGCCTATCCTATCTTTAATTAAGCTGCATAAAATATAACAGTATACAGTAAACTTTGATTAATTATTACTCATTTAACAGTCAGTTTTTGTTATATGTCATTGGCTCAACAACAACAAAGATGCAGGAGTATCAACAAATGAAATTGTGCAACAATGTTGGACTAAACAGTGAAAACATTAGGCCACATGAAGTAACAGATTGGTTGGAATGTGACGAAATGAACGGGCGCTTGAAAATTTTGAGAGAAGATGAAATTGTTTTGAATGTGACTACCAGTGAAGAAAAGGAAATTGATGATGATGAAGGATCAGTTCTTAACCAAAAACCTACAGCTAGCCACTCTGAAGCATAAACAATTTTTTTTTAAATTGCATCGCCTGGTTTGAAATGCAAGAGGAGACAAATGCAACACAAATCCTACTTCTATGTAAGATACGAACACACCTACTATAATGAAACGTGAACTTAAGTGTAATAGTCTTCACTTATACATCTTGTTGTTTCTCTCACACTTCCTCATTTTGTCACACTCACTCACACGCAAAAGGATCATGGTTACTTGGATATTTTTACTACCTTGCAAACGAGTAGTAGTGAGAAGAAGGATTGTTTATGCTTGCGTTCATCTTTTGTCACTGTTATTCTTTGCTTAACATTCTAAACAATAAATAGGTCATGCTTCCTGTAAATCTAGTTATCAGCTATCATGGTCACCTATTCTCCAGTGTCTTTCCACTTTCAACTTCTAGGATTGCATCACAAAAGAGAAATGGTGTTTGTCACATTGATGAGGGCGAGACAAGAACTCCGACCTGATCCGTGATTGTGTGGGATCCTGAAACATGACTGCTGACATTTACTGGCTTTCACGTGATATAGTTGTGTTTTTTTGTGTGGTCTGAAGGATATTTGACACGATCAATCTGGGCATTTTGTATGTGTCTGATATTGTAGGGATTTTTTTCACTGGTGGTCAGATAGTCCTGTAAAAGTCATGAAGTTTGAATTCAGTGTAAATAATGTAAACAATATTGACTCTGTTACTATGTGTGTTTAATCGTGTTGTTTATTAAAGAGGCAAACTATGTTAATCGTGTAGTTTTGATTAATAAAATCTATATTTTGCTTATAAATTATATTGTTTTACGTCTTTTACTATATGCTTATTCTTTTGTTGTTTATATATAAAGGGTGCTAGTATGCACTATACACAGCCACACACATATATACACATACATGGTACAATTAAACACACACTCATATATATATATATATATATATATATATATATATATATATATATATATATATATATATATATATATATATATATATATATATATATATATATATATATATATATATATATATATATATATATATATATATATATATATATATATATATATATATTTATATATATATATATATATATATATATATATATATATATATATATATATATAGACATATATATATATATACATATATATATACAAGTAAGTAAATGACCCTTTTCCACACCTTCAGGCGTATTGGGCATATACGGCAAAACGTTTAATTTATAGACCAATCGACACTTTGTGGATAATGTGGTCAGCATCACACCGGTCGCCTTTGCTTCCGAGGATTTCACCTGATGCCCACTTAAGGCTGGGAGCCAAGGTAATTTCTGCACACACAAAAAATCTCAGGCTCCATCAGGACCCAACCCCACAACCTTCCGACTCACAGACAAGCATCTAGCTGCTACACCACTGTGACTCTATATAGATACACCCTTTCGCAAATCATATTCACTCATTTGCTTATCAAATTTACCCCTTTTCGGAACTGTTTCTGCAACAATATTTTCTTGATCTGTCATAAAAAGGATAAAATGCATGTAAAGTTATGACTGAAGTATCTTTGGCCTCTCGCAAACATGTTTGTCTTAGGATTCCTCTTGGAGAAGAACCATGGTTGTAAAAACCAGACTTCACACCTTAACTTTTAGGTCTTTTTGTAGAACCATTGTTGTGTAAAAACCAGCCTGTTTATGCCTGTGCTCAGGGAATCCTTAAGTATTAGGTCTTTTTGTAAAACCATAGTGGTGTAATAACCTTATCACGCCTATGCTCGGGGAATCCCTAAGTTTTCAGTCATTTTGTAGAACCATAGTGGAGTAATAACCTTATCACGCCTATGCTCAGGGAATCCCTAAGTTTTCAGTCATTTTGTAGAACCATAGTGGAGTAATAACCTTATCACGCCTATGCTCGGGGAATCCCTAAGTATTCAGTCTTTTTGTAGAACCATAGAGGTGTAATAACCTTCTCATGCCTATGTTTAAAGAATCCCTAAGTATTCAGTCTTTTTGTAGAACCATAGAGGTGTAATAACCTTCTCATGCCTATGTTCGGGGAATCCCTAAGTATTCAGTCTTTTTGTAGAACCATAGAGGTGTAATAACCTTCTCATGCCTATGTTTGAAGAATCCCTAAGTATTCAGTCTTTTTGTAGAACCATAGAGGTGTAATAACCTTCTCATGCCTATGTTCGGGGAATCCCTAAGTATTCAGTCTTTTTGTAGAACCATAGTGGTGTAATAACCTTCTCATGCCTATGTTTGAAGAATCCCTAAGTATTCAGTCATTTTGTAGAACCATAGAGGTGTAATAACCTTCTCATGCCTATGTTTGAAGAATCCCTAAGTATTCAGTTTTTTTGTAGAACCATAGAGGTGTAATAACCTTCTCATGCCTATGTTTGAAGAATCCCTAAGTATTCAGTCTTTTTGTAGAACCATAGAGGTGTAATAACCTTCTCATGCCTATGTTCGGGGAATCCCTAAGTATTCAGTCTTTTTGTAGAACCATAGTGGTGTAATAACCTTCTCATGCCTATGTTTGAAGAATCCCTAAGTATTCAGTCTTTTTGTAGAACCATAGAGGTGTAATAACCTTCTCATGCCTATGTTTGAAGAATCCCTAAGTATTCAGTCTTTTTGTAGAACCATAGAGGTGTAATAACCTTCTCATGCCTATGTTCGGGGAATCCCTAAGTATTCAGTCTTTTTGTAGAACCATAGTGGTGTAATAACCTTCTCATGCCTATGTTTGAAGAATCCCTAAGTATTCAGTCATTTTGTAGAACCATAGTGGTGTAATAACCTTATCATGCCTATGCTCGGGAATCCCTAAGTATTCAGTCTTTTTGTAGAACCATAGTGGTGTAATAACCTTATCACGCCTATGCTCGGGGAATCCCTAAATATTCAGTCTTTTTGTAGAACCATAGTGGTGTAATAACCTTCTCATGCCTATGTTCGGGGAATCCCTAAATATTCAGTCATTTTGTAGAACCATAGTGGTGTAATAACCTTCTCATGCCTATGCTCGGGGAATCCCTAAGTATTCAGTCTTTTTGTAGAACCATAGTGGTGTAATAACCTTCTCATGCCTATGTTTGAAGAATCCCTAAGTATTCAGTCTTTTTGTAGAACCATAGTGGTGTAATAACCTTCTCATGCCTATGTTCGGGGAATCCCTAAGTATTCAGTCATTTTGTAGAACCATAGTTAGACCACTTACCTGCTGAGCCAGTGGTCATAAATTCAAATCACTATCGAGCATCATTGTCAACAGGTCGCTGTCGACACAACACGCTTGAAAGTTTCCATCTCTTTTATGACCAATGCATCTTCAATGTCTTTATCCACTTTCACGGAGGTCTGCCTTTACATCATTTTCTGGAAACTATCCTCCAACGCCGTTCTCTCCAAGCCACCGCGGCGTTTAACATTGCCAAAATACCTCAGCTGTTGGGATATAATGCTGATTATGAGCCAGTTCTCATGGACGATCAGATTATTCAGGATGTCTGCGTTTTTCTCCTTCTTACTCCATGGTATTCTAAGCATTTTTCTGTGTCATTTCAGTTCAAAAGCCCCAGTGTTTTTCCATTATTTATTAAGTATATGGCTCATTTCCGTAAATACTACCGAGCATAGTTTTTAAAAGACATGTACTGCCATATGGCCTACAATAAGCGCCAGAAAATAGCTTGAAAAGTGAGGATGGCAGATGCGTTACAGACCCCATCACTCAGTTGATCTGTAGTAGTTAGCACCATATATTTCAGTTTGTAAAAGCTGAACCAACAGCTACCAACGCAAAGATGGACACATGATGTAAAAGTTTCCTTGCGTAGAAAAATGGGCTGGCTGGCGACAGCCTGCATCCTTCTGAACAGTACCTGCTACATAGTGATAATGATGAGCTATCGATAATCATCATCATAAACCACTTCTGCCGTTAAGCGACGTGGGGAGGAATAATTTGCGATCCAGTGCCACTAGCTATTGTCATGCCGTGAACGCACAGAATGTTTTTAATGTTGTCGATCCATGTTTTGCGACTGCCTTCTTGCTTTTGTAGCTGATCTTTTGAGATGTAGTGTCTGTAATGGTATTTGATCTTTCTGCATTCTGAGAGGGCCAAACCACTTGATCTGCTGTTTCTCGATGACTCTAGTGCGAGGTGTCATTCCCACAATGGTAAGGTGGGCGGCTTTTTCTCAGGCATCTGTTTTCACAAGTGGTGATTTTGCGTAGATGGGCTTTAGATAGTGTCTATGTTTGGCACAGGTAGCTATATGTTGAAATGAATATCGCTTTTCAGAATCTGTGTCTTTGCATTCATAGTTATGTTTGAATGTCTTTATAACCGTAACAACTGGTATATAAGTGCAATTGCTTTCTGACATCTGGTTTCTATTTACCATCTTCCGTGATCATACTTCTTACATACTAGTTGCCTAACTTGATTGAAACCAGAACCATTCACCTGTATGTTTAGTGGCCA